CAGCCATTACCACAATTAGAACCGATGACAGTTCCATTAAAACACTATTCGTTATGTTCATGTTGTACTAATAATAATCATAAACAATCGAATATTAAACGTTTACCTTCACTTCGTTATGCAGTAGATAATATGATAACATCACTTGTTCAATTTCTCTATGCAAATAATCGTTTTATGCGTACACAAGAAAAATCGCATCAATCAATTGGTGATTTACTTTCATTTCATACTCTACCGTATGCATTTAAAAATATGGTCGAAGCCACAACTGATCTGGCCAAAAGTGCACGACGTATTAAACATATCGATACACGAACATTAACACGATCCGAGAGGGAAGAACAGCAACAGCAAATAGTTTGAAATAACGGGTGGGGCAGATTAGACAAGCGCTCGAGGATGCTTATGGTCTGTCCACTGAATTCGAAACGCGCGCTAAAGTCGCGAACACCTACTTGGATCCTGTGCTGCTCATTCCTATTCTGGATTATATTAAACATAACTAACAGTATCAAAATTGAAGATTTTGAGGTCTATTGTGAAAGTATGGTTGTATTCGTAACACAAGTCTGCTTTAAGGAAAAAATTTGAAATTCAGTAGAAGCACCCTGGCCGTAATCGCTTTATCCCTCCACTTTAAGAAAAATAGAAAGAAATTAAACGTAATATAAATGTCTCATGAACTCGTTAATTATTAATATCAGCGAACTCAGCATTTAGAGTCCCTAATGAACGTTAAGATGGATTAAGCTTCACTGCGGTTATAAATATATTTTGTTTAATTTTATTTATATACATGAGATCGATGATTGAATGGTGAGCTTTATTTGTTTTAATAGATGAATTACTGGTTTTACTTAAGTACGTGAAGTGAACGATTCAAAATGTCAACTGTCTTTAGTATGATGAATACATTTGTAGATCAATGATCGAATCGTAAGTTTTACTTCTGTAATAATGACTTTGGATAGTTCAGTCATTTCATACAGAACTTAAAAAGGTTCTGCATAAGATGCGAAACCATTAAAAGATTCTGCCGACCTCCTTTATTTTTTTCAGAGATACCTCTCAATCGAGAAATCGGTCACGAAATCACGCGTCCAATATTAATTTTACTGTATGGAAATAATATTCATTTGCTTTTCTTTCACAGCGTACTTTTATGTTCAACTATTTTGTAATATCTGGATGACTAACATATTTTCACTCTCGTTGCGAAATAATATGACACATAAAACAAATATTATTGCGCACGGTTGTTACGTTCTTGTTCAAGGTATAAAATATGGATGCATTCTCTTTCTTTAAGATTTTGTTTACTAATTTCTTATCAAACAAGCGATCAACGTTCAATTTTAGCCTATTGAATCGAGATGACTACCAATGATGAATTGGCTACTATTGAAATTCGATGTATTCCAGACAATCCATTTGCTATTTCTGGCGTCTTAAATACAAAAAAGGTTCGTTTCGATATCGAAACAAAAACCAAAGGAGCAACAATCACACGAACGCCACTTAATTTGGTACTTGTTCTTGATCGTAGTGGATCCATGGAAGCTGATGACAAATTAACATTTGCTAAAAAAGCTGTGGCTTCTGTTCTTAATCTTCTTCACGATGACGATGTAGTTCATCTTGTTGCATATGATACTGATGTATCTATCATTTTTGAGAATGCACGAGCATCCTCGCGTCAACATCTTTATCCTATTATCGACGAAATTGAAACTGCTGGTTCAACAAACATGGCCGATGGTATTAATGTAGGTGCTAGTCTTCTAGAAAAATATGTATATGCTGGATTTTCAAATCGTCTGTTCCTCTTTTCTGATGGGCAAGCTAATGTTGGAATGAAAACATGCCCTGAGTTAACAAATCTCGTCGCTGGATATCATACTAAAGGCATTATAACTGACTCATTTGGAATTGGTGCTGATTTTGATAGCGTCATTATGAAAGGTATTGCTGATGCTGGTGGATCAAGATTTTACTTTCTTTCATCGCCTGAAAAGATTGAATTCCTTGTTACTAAAGCACTTGTCTGTGTATTTGGTGTATGTGCATCACGAGTTCGTCTTATACTACGTGGCAAAAATGGAGCCATTGTTACGAAAATATGGGGTCATGAAGATATTGTTGCTGGTGCAAGTCTTGGCGATCTCCATTCAGATAATCTACGATCAGTTCTTTGTGAATTTACAACTTCTGGATCAGCGAATACTGAAGTTGAAGTACTTACATATGAACTACAATATCATCAACCAAATGATTTCAATGGTGCACCGACAGTGATAAAAAATACTTTATCATTAAAATTTGTAGAAGATGAGTCACTTATTACGGACCTTGATCCTCGTGTGAAAACTATGTATGCCACTCAAATGGTTGCTGATATGGATAAGAAAATTGCACAGTTAGTGAA